CTTGTCACTTGACACGTTTTGAGAAGCACTTTCATAGTAAAGAAGAGCTTGACTACTTAAATACGTTTGGACATAGACTTAAAATTAAGTTGAAATTTAGTTACCTACTTAAATACTTAATATGTGTATAAATTATAAAGCTGGAGAGTTTGTTTGTTTGTTTACTTGAACGCGCTAATCTCAGGAACTACTGGTCCGATTTGAAAAATTCTTTCAGTGTTAGATAGCCCATTTATCGAGGAAGGCTATAGGCTATATACCATCACGCTTCGAGTAATAGGTGCAGAGCAAAAATGATTTTCACGCGTACGAAATCGCTGGCACTGCTAGTACTTAATATGTGTAAATCAGCCTTAAGATACTGACAGCTTAAGCAATTTGGTGCACAAGAAAACCAGAGGAAATTGCGAAAGCCATGATAGATATCGCGTCCCATGGGAATAAAGAGTTAAACGTTAGCAAATCCTCATCTCTTCCGTGTTCGCTAGTTCTTAACGTAATTAAAAGATTGTGTTTAATTGTTGAATGTAGAGCTAAGTAGGTTAATTCCTAGTAAGTAAGTACCTACCTAAATCTAATTCATTTCAACTTAATATGAAGTCCACTGCTGGACAAAGGCCTTCGGTTCTGCGCTGCCCGCATCAAGATGCCTTCCGCGACCTTCACCAAATCGTCGGTCCACCTAGTGGGAGTAGACCCACTCCTTTTTTGTCCCGGAGGAAATGCTTTGCGCACCGTCATCACTGCCGGGGGACAGGGCGATGTGTGTGTGTGGGACTCCCGGCGCCCTGAAAAGGGCGCTGCTCCGTCCTGAAAAGGACGAAGCATACCCACTAAAAGCTCCGCGGCGTTCCGTCATCGCCCGAGTGGCATCGCCGAGCCGTAGCCTGGGACTTCCTTGTACTTCTGCCACAAGTCGACCCACTTCTAAGCAAGGCTTTTAGGAACTTATTAATATACTATACCTAAGTACAACCAAACTGTGGAATGGACTGTCGTCTGCGGTGTTTCCGGACGGATACGACCTGCAAGCTTTCAAGAGGAGAGCGACATCTTTATCCTAAAGCTAACGCTCCTGGGTCTGCGGGTGTCTATGGGCGACGGTAATCACTTACCATCAGGTGATCCGTCTGCTTGTTTGCCTCCTATCACATAAAAAAAAAAGTGTTTCTGTTTATATCATCAATCGTACCATTTGCCCTCTCATCCAGAAAATCAAATCCATGTGTGCCATCTTCAGCGTAACTGGCGTAATACCAAGCAATCGAGGCTACAACTTAACATATTATTTAACCCAACAATGGACACTGAGATCTTATCACACTTGCATAAACCGCATTGTGGTGGGATCTGAAACATGTGTTCTGTTATCTTATGGTGATGGCTTTGTAAGGTGTCTGAATATGCATAAGTTAGGTGCTTCGAGGAACATCATCCGCATCATCATTATGTATCTCTTGTCGAAAGTCAAATAATCAAAGTTTATCGACGAGTCCAACTTTGCACAGATGTAAAGCACTCTCAAGAAAAGGTTGTATAGTTTTCACTTCATAATAACAACATTATTCATTCCATAGAGAAAAGTAATACAGATTCATTCTTCAAAAACGCCTAGCGCCATCTATGAACATTAAACACCTTAGACACTTTTTTCCCACCAAACTCAATGACAGGGGGCGCTACCATCGTTCAACTATATGGTTTCCAACATGGCAAAAATCGGAACCAGCAATCCGGTATTGACGGTGGCGCCCCCCTGTCAATGTCATGGATAGGACAGTTCATTATTTTGGAACTATACCCCCATTGACATCTGTTTTTTTTAATAAGAACACCGCGGCAGCACCGTGTGGAAACTTATTACATTATATATATTAAACTTCTACATAAAATTGGTTTTATAAAAATCTTCATTAAATTAAATTAATATTCGATACACCTTTTGAGATTTTTAACCTTAGATTAATCTAAGTTTTTAACACAGTATTATTGTACAAATTTCATTAAAACTGATTGTTTCGTTTTGTGTTTTAATATAACGCCATCTAGTTTAGAATAGAAACATCAGAAGCACGTCATCAAGCCACAATAAAACACCTATGTTTAGACACGGTAATAATATCATACAGAGCCCCGATTACGGTAACTTTTAACGTCAACAATCCAGACACGCTTCTCGATTCTGCGATACGATTGGTCGTTCAACAGCGTACGTCAGCTGTTTTGACCAATCGTATCGCAGAATCGAGAAGCGTGTCTGGATTGTTGACGTTAAAAGTTACCGTAATCGGGGCTCAGTATTGTAACTTCATATAAACGGACGAAACGCGAGCTTTCCTTCGAAATTCAAATCTCGGTATGCGCTCGATATGCAAAAGTCAGGGTTGTCGCGAATGTGCCATAGTAATAAACGGACGATGTGTTGTTTTATAAACAGTAAGCGCTTTTTTTTTATAAAAATAATTACAAGTACATATTTATACAGGGTGTTAGATAAATAGGTTTATAAGCCGACACTAGACGTTAACATAGGTACCTACGCAATTACGCATATAAATGTTATGGTGAAGTCAGTGATATCATCATTTTATTTTTTTTAATTTTCATACAAAATAAAATTTATAAAATCAGATTTGTATGAATATTAAAATTATTAAAATCATTCATACCATTGATATACCATGGGCTAGTGTCGGCTTATAAACCCATTTACCTAAACAACCTGTATAATAATCAAGCATTTTACTGTCGTAAATTTATAAGATTTGTTACTAAATTTTAACACTAATATGTATATTTTTTTTATTAAATCTACTAATCACAAAACAACATGTTGTTTTGTGATTAGTAGGTGGAAATATTTTGTGAATGAAATAGGATAAAAATGCATGCATTTTTATCCTATTTCATTCACAAAATATTTTGTTTGTCAAAATAAAATAAAAATTACAATCACAAAATACATTCACAATACTAGCCTCGTAAGACCGAAGAGTAAATTTTGTCAACTTCTAAGTATCGCCGAATGTGCTTTCAGAAGAACGAATAATTTGAAGTCGTAAACGCCGAGCACTTCGAGTAAAAAAATTTCTATGTTAGAGATTTTCTTTTGCACCCATATTTTCAGGGACCCTATATAATAGTGCATAGAGCTTATTTTAGGTAAAAAATAATAAAAAAATGTTTTCTCTTAAAAGAACATTCGGTATTACAGACTTTAAAAAGAAAAAGTAAATAAATTGTATATTATACTTTAAAGTAAAACATAAATGTAACCTCCTTAATAAATTAACACTACATAAAGATACAATAATGATATTAATAAATGCAACTGAAAAGGCACAAGTATTTTAATTTTATTTAATGTTCCATAATTAGTACTTTTAAAAAAACTATCGGTTTTATAACATACAATAATGATAGATTAGAATGTATAAGAAGTAAAGTCAATATTCATGTTAATTATAATATTTATTAAACTAAAAATCAGATCGTTCTCATAGTAAATTTTCTCAATCATATCATAATTTTAAAAGTCCAATACTCAATTCATCTCAATAGAAAAAATATACAAAAATAAAACTTTCACCATCAAGACCGAATGTTCCTTGCAAAGAACTATTATTTTCAAACGAAAAAAAATCATACAAAACTTCTTCGAATTGGTAAAAATATTTTTTTTGCTTGTTTAGCAGTATTTTAACTTTAATTACACTGGTTAGTTTTTCAATTAAACTACGTTTACGTGAAGAAAAAAAATTAATCGTAAATCACGTCCGAAGAACCACCTTGTCAAAGAAAAATGATAATTTGACAGTGACATTTTGTTTTTTTTACATTAATAAGTTCGGATACCTGATTTTGAATACTTTGAGCCATAGACTATCACTCGTTTTTTTCGATAGGCGCGAATTTTTGAACTTAAAATTATCGCTAAAGTTTTAGTTCCTCTGAAGGCACATCCGGCGATACTTACAATTCACCTCCGAAAATGTCTCGGCATTACCGACTACAAAGTTTCAGTTCCTTCTGAGGCACATCCGGGCTTACGAGGCTAGATAAAAATTCTAAGTAGGCAGATGTAATGAAAATAGGGTCTGCAAGTGGGCAGCCCTATCGCATGTTGTCATACGGTGACGTTCCGCGCGGCTGTTGACATTTATTTCAAAAATATGGCCGAGTTGGAATACTGTATAGATAGTATTACCGTGGTTTAGACTAGCAACGCCATCTACCGGCGAGTAGCGGACTCATTCGGACACGTGCCGCGGCATCCTTTGACAAAGTGCGAAAGGAGCGGCTTTCTCTTTCACTTATTTGTAGCTTCACTTATTTATATTTTCATAAATATTATTTTTTTATGTTAGTTTCTAATAATTTAACGATCTTATTTTTATCCCCTTGCAAAGAAAGTTTGAAGAAATAGTCATTTATTGTGTAATTTATTTTGTAACAGTCATATTTCTAAAAGTTTAAATTAACACTACTTTACATTACTTGAATTCATTAAAACTAATAAATACCCAAGCTTAAAAATTACCTACTTACTTACGTAACCTAGGGTAGGTAGGTGTAAGTATGTTAGTAAGATGAAAACTAAACTTTAGGAAAACTGTCCGATAAAATAAAAAGATTATAAAACATCATTATTATTATCTTTTCATCGCAATACAATTATTATACTGTTATAAACGGTCTAAAAATGTTAACTGGGTTATAAACGTGGTGCCTCGCTTTTCTAATAAGCCGTTATAATAAATAATACAACTAAATAAACAACTCTCCATAATTTATTATTGATTAAAAATTGAAACAAAATTAAAAAAAACGCAATTTACTTACTTCACCGATGATCTGTATAAAAAAAACCCTGGTCCGAAATCGAACTTGGTTCCCCGTAATGACCAACCACTCATCTATTTGGTAGTGCGGCGCGGCATCACAAGACAAGGCGGCACCCTTTGATCCTGCCGAAAGCAAAAAAACAAAACAATTTTTGTTTTAGTTCGCCGCGAGTTATTGGAGGGAGAGGTTGTGCAAGTGCTACGTCCGCGTACGAAATTTGCCGTTGTAATTGGTAAGCTGTTGTAATTTATATCATTTTAATTGTAAATAATATTTAAAGGGACAACGCACATGATTAGAAAGTTATGTTCTTAAAAAACAGTTGTAACTATTCAATTGTGGGACCTTTTCTTTAGCCAATTGGGATTTAAAATCTAAAATGGTAGGTTTTCAACAATATCAATAAGTAAGTTGTTGAAAAGCAATACTGAAGGGATCATGAACTTCAAAATTACCGCTGTACATGGCTGTTTAGGTACTTCTTCTGTCTTCTTTTGTTTGTATTATTTATTAATTGTAAACCAGCTATTGTGATGTTTTAAAATACTTTATTTAATTTATCATAAACAAAATAATTGAAACAATTGAAAACTACTAAGCTGTGGTAAATTAGAATTTCAAAAGTCACTCAAATGAAACTTACTGAATTTTCATTTCCGGCAAAACTTTGACCATAATGACGTCGTAAACTCGTGAAAAATATTGCAATGAAATTGTAAATAGACCCGATTTTATGTTTTATCAATGAAATTACACTGATATTTCAGGTTGAAAATGTTCCCGTCCAGAAACATGCTTGATTACATGACAGAACTAAATAGACTGTTCCCCAGATCCACGGAAAATGGTAAGTTGTACCGATTCTTCTCTCAATCTCCATTTTACATTAGTTTTAAAACAAAATCTAACTTATTTTCAGTGATAATGATTGACATTCTTCTGTTTTATTTACAAAGTAATTAGAAAACAAATGTTTGTTGACAAACTAGTAATGACATTCTTGCTATTTCCACGACCTATTTTTGCCACAAGTTCAATGAAACTCATATTTATTTCGTATACCTTCCAGATCTACTGTTGCCAAGCATGTACACGCCAAACTTCATGCAGTCTCCGTTCAACGTATCGGCGGCTAACAGGTCATCCAGTTCCGCCGATTCCACGTCACCGGAATCCTTTCCTGACATTCCACCACAGTTCAGGCCTAGATGCAGACCTGTCCTTGAACATCCAATCGTAGACACCCCTCCGATTAGACGACAGCGCCCAATAATGGGAAGAAAACTCATGGACACCCCAGAGCATACAGTCCCAAATTACTTCCCACCCCTGCAAATGTCACCTCTTAAAAGTTTCGAGTCCGACATAGAACTGAAAGCGCTCTGGCAAGACCATTCCTACCCTCACACTCCACCGAAGCCGACCAGATTCTCTATGGAACAGAGTTATTCGCCAAACACCTACGAGCTCTTCCCTGCTGAAAGCAGAGGCTACGAGTTCCGAACCCCAGTCAAGAATATGTCCCTATCTCAAACGTCTGGGTTCAATTCGAATGTGTCTCCAAGATCGACTGTGAGTGTGTCGCCTATATCGCCTATGCGTCAGCGATTCACCACTCCACCACCTCCGTTCCGAAGAAGCTTCCATTCAAATGTACCTTCACCATCACAGTCAAGCGAGGATAGTCGTATTCAAGCTGGAAAAGTATGTTCCTTCTGCCGTAAGAATGGGGAGACACCAATGGTGTATATGACACATGCCGTGAGGGAGATGAGAAACAATAAGCAAGTGGTGACGTGCCCGATTTTGAGGTCCCATGTGTGCTCCACATGTGGCTCTACAGGAGATGATGCTCATACAATGTGAGTAACTAAAAACACCTTTTTATAAATGTAGTTTTTTTGCTAATTTCATTATTTATACTGAGCCACAAAAATTAGTACACACGGCAAACTTAATGCCATTGGGCATTCTCTACCAGTTAATGCTGTTTTTCTAATGTAACTATTTTTACATGTCTGCCTAGATTTCTATAAAAAGTAGCCTCAACTTCTATGAAATAATATCCTCAGAAACTAATAGAAATGATTTAATTTCTGAGGAATAGTAAATGTTTTGAAACTTTCAGTGTTTCATGTTAATGCTTATTCATTTTTCTTTTGTAAGAAGTAATTAAATATCTTGTTGATGTAATGTGGAGATGACAAGTTGTAAATAATATTTTTTATCAATTTCAGAACCTACTGTCCGATCCTGCGAATCAATAACAATGGTAGACCACTTCAATCTACGACCATCACACTAAAAAACACCAGGGTCAAGAGCAACGGTAGAAAGAGATATTAATTTTTACAATTACGGTATATTTTTTATATTTTTACTTAGTTTTAAGGACTGACCAAATTATGAAGGAATGCAGATTTTTGACTGAAATTATTTTTATAACTTGACCATTGAAAATATTGTGTGACTTTTATATTGTACATTTTTTACTTGTTTTTGAACTTAAAAGCCTACTGTACAACAAAAAACAATTATTTTTCATAATATTTTTATCAGTCAAAAAAATTATTCATAGAGTCAATTGATAGAGTAGCCATTCAGTTCACTGATTCCTATTATTCTGTGAACTCTAGAACTTGAAATGAATGCATGCATGTTATAATAATATAAGTATTTTTTAGAACCTACAGTTTGAAAAAGAAACTCACTGTTAGAGTATATTAATTTTTGTGTTCAGTTAGTTTAAAATTGCGCTTAGAACACATAAACGTATGTAGATCTTTATTTAAATGTAATTATATTGATCTCTACTGCCAAAGGCATAATAATTTATGAAAGAAATACGTAAGGTAGGCTCAAGTATTCATTTTTAATGTTTTTACATGATGTTTGACATCTTTTATTTGCAATTATGGTTTTAAAAGTAACAAATTGAATTACAAAAAGAACAAATTCAATTGATTTGAAAAAGTATTATGACTGATTTATAAAAAACTAATGTTTTTGTTTTCATAAAAAATAGTGATTTAAAATTTTGACCACCAGCAATTTTTTTTTTAAATTTTCTTTGTCTGTATGTCAAAAATGTTTTGTTTAGATATTATTAAATACTTTTAATAATATTGATGATGTATGGCTTAGATTATTAAAGCCTTATTAATCTAAGATGTATGGTTGCAATAATAATAATAATTATGATCTCTTGAACAAAGCTCAATTAATGTAGTCTTTTGAAGACTCGTCTAGATTTAAGATTTTTAACATGACAATGTGCTGGTCTTCATTATAATTCTAATGTTTTTAAAACTCAATAGATATTATACTCAAAATAATTGTGACTATGACATAAAGATTGATCTCATTTAATTTATAAGTACACACAGCAGAAAATCAGAAGTCATGTTGGTTTTGTAATCGCCTTTATTCTTGGAGAAATAAGAGCTACTATTAGACTTAACTTTCGCTGTTGAGTAGGTACGAAATTTGACATGATTGTTTTTATCATTATTCATTCTTAATTTTACAATACCTACTGTGTGTTAGTTTCTAGACTAAAGTAAGATAATTATTATTATTGTGAACAGTAGAAAATGTAAGTATCATTGCAATTATGACTCAAACTGTTTTTAAATTTTTCATTATTATAATCATGTTTTTAATTTTTTGCTGCTGTTTCCAATTTTTACTGAAACTACTTTTCTATATTTTTGACTGCCAAGTGCATTTTACACTGTATTTGACGAAATGAAAATTATGCATAATAATTACATTTTGTAGTAACTAATATTTCAATAATTTTATATATTTTTACATTATTTACTGTTTTGACCTGTGGTTTTGACAATAATTTCCTTGACTATAGCAATCGTGTACTTCTTTTTTTAGTTTTTCTAATTTCTTGACTAAAAAATATCTGTGTTCCTGACTAAAATTCTACAAAAAACACTCAAGTTCGTGTTTTTCTTATAATAATTGTGTGTACTGTACTTATTTTGATGATTTTAGCTGTAAATAATATTTTTACATGGCATGTATGTATGTACAAATTTCAAATTAATTATGTTTGCTTTCTTGCATGAGTTGCATGATGATATTTTTAAAATACGACATTGTCAACTAAATTAACTGAAAATACAACAGTTGAAAAGTTCTTTGAATTTGTAATTTTGTTTTTTAATAAAAAAATGTATGAGTTCGGAAAATAGTGCTGTAATATTACCCATGCCATGTATAAAGTTTGTATGAATGAAATGATTATTATGAATGCTTTTTATGAAATGTGCCATAGATAGTAATTAATATAACGTACTGTGGGTACTTATATTCTTAGACTAAGGTTGATTTTGTTGAATGAATAATTAAATTTGAGAATTTATGTTTTGTTTGCAGCAATGTGTTAATTTTATAGAGTTCGTATTTATACGACCCAAATGTACACTGAGTACTTGTTTATAATAATGTTTTAATTCGTGTAACGAATTTCAGAATTTTTAATATACGTAAGGAATGATTTTCTTAAAACTATCTTTTATTCACTTTCTCCCTCATTGTACAGGCAACAGCACATTCTTTCAATTTTGCTTGATTTGTGTTTGAATCTGTTTGAATTATTTAGCTTGATTATGCTCATGTCAGTACATATTGATAGCTTATTATCAGAACTAGCTCAATACAGGGTTTAGCTAGCTAGCTTTAGTGCTGTTGTCTGTATATGTAGATCGTTCTATCCACGAAGACGCGCCCCACCAATTTATGGTCGAGAGGGAAGCGCGTTAGGGTTTGGGGAGTTTGATCCGAGCAATCAAATATTATTGTAGTGTGCGACGCATAAATCCATGGATTTATTTAGCGTGTACCGATAACACTCAAACAGCGGAAAATAGTGGGGCGCGTCTTCGTGGACGATACGATTTTTACGTTATGTTCCTGTCGTTTTCTACTAGTCGAAGTAGGCTCCCACTAAAGTGGAGACGAGAGTTGTTAAGCATTTTGAATAACCAATCAGATTTCGTTATTTCCACATTCACATTCTATCTCGAAATAGAAGATTTCCGAGCCGTAGCTGAGCGAAGAGTTGTGTGAAGATTTCTCTCTCTCTTATTATCTCCTTCGTTATTCATCAGCTCAGCTTTGGTGGAAACCAGGCCTAATTCATAAAGAGAATTATCTTTACCTACACGTTAACAGCAGTGCCATGCATTGCCTGCATGGAAAGATTTATTATGGCCCACATCACTGATTGGAATATTATCTTCGCATGCAGCAGGCAGAGTCACAGGCTTTGATTAGTCTAGCTAGACACCTGACTAATAGTGCTCATTGTTAATTGGCATGTGTGTTATTAATTAGAAAGGTGTTCATATACAATTTACTATTTCGGAAGCTAACAGAAATTGGGTCGTATCTTTTTCTATAATTAGACCTAACTCATGGTCATCGCAACAGACGCAGATTCAGTTTGTGAAAAACATTCGTCTAACTACGCCGTTCTTTGTTCAGTGCTGGAATAAAAAATTTGGACAGTCAGTACAGCAGGAGGCTTGAATAGTCAAAATGGCGGCCTACGATTGGCCTGTGGATACCGAAAATCTGCCTGTAATGCGAATAGTGACACCAAGAAATGTAATAATGTGTGGGATATATGGCATGTGAGTACCTTTATTAACCTAACTTTTGTCAACATTAATTATTGCGTGGTTAGTTAGGCAGGTATTCCTTTGTTTTAATTTTAATTTATTTCAAGTAAACCATGAAATTCCATAATTTGAAATTTTGTATTTTCCCGGTACAATAGATTTACAGGGGTTGTTTAAATTAAAAACTAATTTCATTTTTGTTATTTTTTTTATACTAGTTTTCCTACAACATATTTTTCACGTTTAAAAAACAATAAAACACTGATTGAAAGTGTCGAATGAAACTCGAATCTCTTATTTCTCAAATAAAACACGAACCTAGCAATCAAGCTACAAAAATGAAACTTGCTTCGTAAATATATCGAAATGTCAATAAATGCTTCAATGTCAATTTAATGTCATGTCAATTCAAAAAAACTAAAAAAACACCAAAAATGTTTTAAATTCCGGCATAATCTCTATGTACATACTGTAAATAAATAAATAATTCAAACAAAAAATGAGTAAGATATCAGTCAAGGGCGGTAGTGAAACAGAGGTGAAAAGTTTCGAAGACGACTCTACAACACCGGATTTTATATATGGGGGGCCTTTTGTGAAGTTGGAGAAGGCATGCCCACTGCTGGACACGGCTACTCCCATAAATTTGCAATTACAAGGCACCTTTAAAAAGTACGTATCATCTTTATTTAATTTAAAAACTTAGGTTACCTGCTACAAGAATCTTGGTCAATCTTGGTAGTTTCCAATAAGATTTTAAAATAATGTTTTTAATTAAAATTCCTCTGACCACAGAGGATAGTTTTAGTGTTTTATCTTTTAGTCTATACACTGTTAATTCCTTAGAAAATTACTAAAAAGGCACCCAAATATTCTGTAAAAGTTATAGGGTCGCAGAATTAATGTTATTAACCTTTGTAATTATGTAACTTCTGGCCTCTGCATACTTATTGAAACTTACTATTATAGGTACTTAACTATGCCTTTTACCATCAGAAGTAAACATATTTAGGGACAAATTTACTTGTTGTATAAAAATAACACCTGTTTATAAACCCAGAACCTGAATCACCACTTGGTATTGTTGTCAGGAATGCAAATGTTTTGGCCAGGAGGCAGGAAGATATCCATGTAACTTTGTATTAACCCATCCCCAGGCGGTTGAGTATATGTCCTGTCCACATAACAATTGATTTCTATTGTCTCGATTTGAAGGGTTAAACTATCTTCCTCATGATTCATGAATATACGTATTGGTGAAAACCTTATGAAAAGATAAATAAGACAACTTAAGCACAAAATGACGAACAAGTGAAAAATTATAAATCACAAAAAAGTACAAAACTCGACTGCATCTCACTTAACTGTGATTGCAGTGAAATAAAATAACTTTGTTCTGCTTTAAAAACAATAATTTAATAACTCATTTTTTTTCAGTTGTAAGATTTCTCATTTCTCTTTTTTCTACATTATTTTTTTCATAATGATTGAATTATTTTAATTTACAAAAAACCACAAAAAAAACAAAAACCAACTTTATCTCCTAAGTAATACAGCCTATTATTTTTCAATTTCATCCAACTTGATTAAAATTTCTTATTACTATGGTGTTAAAGTTCATTTTGGGCTAACCAAAATCGGGCGTGAGTTTAGCAGTCGCCGTGATTACGTCACCATTCATTTTTTGACTGCTAAAGTAAATGTACGATAATTTCGGCCGACCTTTCGAAGCCCGGATAGCTCAGTCGGTAGAGCATTGGACTTTTAATCCAAGGGTCCAGGGTTCAAGTCCCTGTTCGGGCGGCCATCTTTTTTTATTTTATTTTTGTTTTTCTAAATCATTTCTTCGTTTTTTTTTTCAAATTACTTAATTTTTCTTGTTTTTTTTTTACAGGAGTTTTGCGTATTATTCTCTGAAGGAAAGATTGCCGATTATCTTGACGAAAGTCATAGATTATTGCTCGAGGGAAGGACAGAAAATCCGCTCTGCGAATAGTGCCGTAAGTAAAAGATGTTTTTATTTCATTAAATTGCGTAAATAATTTTGAAGTACTTTAGGTAAATAGAAGATGTATTTTTGTAAATACTGAAAACGCCGTGAATGACGCGTAGTCCACACAAATGTTAATGTAGTATTATGTAAAATTAGATATTTTTACTTGACTCCGCCCGCGGTTTTGCCCGCATAAATCAGCGCAAGAAAAATATATAGCTTGCTTCCCTCTTTCAAAAATCGCAATAAAACCATCAACCTCTTCTTGAATCAATTTATTTCTTGGTGAAAAAGACTAAAAATCCTTTTTGTGGTTTTTGAGTTTTATGTGAATAAACCAGACAAACGCAGTGGGGAGGACTTTGATTCATAATGATATTATACTAGCATGGGCGCGCGGGTTCGCCCGCGTAAATTTTTGTCTGTAACAGAAAACTTTATCGCGCGCGTCCTAGTTTCAAAATCCTATTGTTTCTGCAATTTTTAGTTTTTTGTGTGGATAAAAATGCTTGATACAGGTTGGTTTACTATTTTTAAGAGCTCAAGATCGAGGAGCGTGTACCTACTTACTGAGATGTTAACCGCACGGGCGGTGTTCGCGTCGTCAGTGTAATAGTAATAGGTAAATGTTTCTTTCTCTCTTTCTATTTCAGTCAGACGAAGACGTCCGAAACTTCATCCAATACGTAACCAAGCTGAAAAACGACCTAATGACCAACAAGAAGTATGACCTCCTCACAGTTGACACGCCTGAAGCTAAGCGCTGGAACGAATGGATACTGAACGCTGATAACTCGTACTACTTCACTAATACTTGGGTGTTCACTGAATGCTATGTGTACCGGAGGCTAAGGGAAGGATGTGAGCTACAGTAAGTACATTTTTTATGTTTGATCGGCCGTTTGGTGTAGTGGTTCGAAACGGACTACTATTCCGAAGGTAGCGGGTTCGATTCCCGCACAGTACAAACATTTGTGTGCATGAACATATTTGTTTGTATTGGACTGGGTGTTTTCTATGTATAATAAGTATGTATTTACGAAAAAAAAAAAAGTATTTAAGTATGTTTATATCCGTTGTCTAGTACCCATAGTACAAGCTTTGCTTAGTTTGGGATTAGAAGCGCAGTGTAAAATGTCCAAGGATATTTATTTATTATTTATTATTATTTATGTATAACAAGGCAGGTATTTGACTGCATCGCACCTGGTGTTAAGTGAGATGCAGTCTAGGATGGTACATATCTGCCCTGTAAGTGCCTATTCTCGCCTTGAAAAAGCCCGAATTATAACGTTCAGGAAAGACAGCAGGCAGCGAATTCTAGGCCCAAGCTGTTCGCATTATATAAGAGTATATCAGTTAATTTGTTATAGCCAAAGACTGTTTTATAAACAGCGTTGGAAAGAGTGGATACTGAAGGCATAACTCGTACTACTTCACTAATACTTGGGTGTTCACTCAGTGCTATGTACCGGAGGCTAAGAGAGGTGTGTGAACTGCAGTAGCCAGTAAGTATATCAATGGGACTACTCCCACCTCTCGTTCCCACCGCTGCAACTGCTGTGTAGCCAGGATCTACAGCTTGACCGCCAATGAAAACCCAACCAGTGAAGGTCAAGTTTGTCCCGGGGGAAAGTTAACTGTCATTGGACCCGCAACGAAATTATTATTAATCAGAAGAACATAGGAGGAGTTCGAAGGCGACGTCTACTGGTAAACAAAAGCCTCCCCCAAATGATTTCCGCATGGGTCCACCGAGTGGCAGGCCTGCCTAGACTATAGAATAGATACTAGGTCTATTCTATTTTGATCACCTGGCTTTGATCACCCATGTGATCAAAGTGGACTCCAAGCGACAATTTGGTGTCCTTTGATCACCCATGAATAAGATGACCTGGGTGATCAAAGTGTACTCCAGTTCAATTATTGTATTAGTTAGTTTAGTTTATTTCAACCTCAGGACGTCCACTGCTGAACATAGGCCTCCCCAATGTTTTCCAGATTGGCAGCATGCATCCAGCGCCTTCCTGCCACCTTTATGAGAGTGACACAATTCATGGGCGAAATCTTCCCCTAGGAGAAAGTTTTTCCTGAATTCTTTAACCATCATACTTTCGACGACCTTATAAAGGTAGCAGGAAAGCGCTGGATGCAGGCCGCTACCAACCGTGCGATGTGGAAGTCATTGGGGGAGGCCTATGTTCAGCAGTGGACGTCCTATGGCTGAAATGATGATGATGATACTTATTCATACCTGTGTCACAGGTTTCTTTGAAACCTACTTCAGGCACCAGTCTCTCACAAGTGATAGGAATTAAGCTAAGACTACTAGTATAAGACCTTGTATTTAAGTACGCATGTTTCCTACTTTTTGAAGAGAGAAATAAACAATTTATAGCCTGACCAGGAACATAAAAACCCTGGCATAGAGGCGCGTCAATTGCATTTTATAGTGCAACACTGAGTACAGTCGTACCTGTGTTAAATTAATAGGCTAACTTTATGTATCAGGATTCAGGATTACGGGCTAATTTGATATTTTCATAAATTAACAAAAAAATATTATTATAGGTAACCTGGTTTAAATAAATTAAATGAAACCATCAATCGAGCTAGTAGGATTTTTATTATTCATCAATAATCAAATTCAGAACTTGAATATTCAACTGCATTGTCTGCTCATGAACGCATCAAACTTGGTACTTCTTTCCCAAATCCATAAAATTCAACACTTAGAAAGTGACAAAAAAATTTTAAAATTGGTAGTTGATACAAACCACACCTAATTTTCATAGTGGACTGTACTATACGATAAACATGCCAGTAAATTTGACAACCTTTGTCGGAAACATTATTCAATGAAAATATTGTCCGAACCCTTAGTATTTCTCTTCGACAAATACTTTAACACATTGTGAACCACTTTTCTTTCACGACTATAAAAAGATTTTAGCAATTTAATTCACAAAATCAATTGCGCACAATTAAATTAAAGTTTGTTTACACTTTGACAGCAATAGACTGACATGCAAGGTGACATGTCAATGAAGTTTTCAGTTACTGTTGCCATTAAAAGAAATTAGTACCATTAGTTTTCCGCAATATGGCGAGGGTTTTTATGTTCCTGGTCAGGCTATATTTATTTATTTTATTTACCTATATTTTATTCTTACAGGAAAGGCCTCCAGAACTTCGATCCCTTCGACGAGCAGAAGGAAAAGGCTTTTGCTGGAGGAATGGAACCCATGTGCATAGTGGCCGAGAAACTGGTCACCATGCTGCCTGAGAGCGACAAGGACAAAAGGAAGGCTGACTTCATCACGCTGCTCAAGGTATGCTGTATAGGAGACGCTTCATTTTGTTGCAAAAATATCAGAATCTATCGTAAAAGTACATAAGGTGCATAATAAAGTGCATGAGAGCGGCAATGACAGGACATCTACAGGACTACAAGGTATAAAAAATGGGACAATTTTCACACCTCGTTCTCACCGCCCTGTCGTGCCCTGACTGCCCAAGCAACCGCACTCAGGAGGATTTGATGAGCGCTGCTGACAACGCCACTTTTGTGGCGGAGTTTTGAGAAGAAGAAGACCGCTGCAATGGGTAGCCAGGATCTACAGCTTGACCGCCACAAAAACCCAACCAATGAAGGTCAAGTTTGTCCCGGGGGAAAATTAAACTGTCATTGGACCCGCACCGAAATTAATCAGAACAACATAGGAGTTCGAAGTTAAGGTATGCTGTATAAGTGTAGGTATAGACGTCATATCGTTTCAACCAAAGTACGTCCACTGCTGGACAAAAGTCTCCCTCAAGGATTTCCACAATGACCGATCCTGCGCTGATGCATTTAGGTGTTATCCTCGACTTCACTAGATATAGTCCGCTAAGTGGAAAGGTCAGGATATGAGAGTGATTAAGATGGTGAACAAGGTGTGCTAAGTGTGTGAACCCATGTGCATAGTGGCCGAGAAACTGGTCACCATGCTGCCTGAGAGCGACAAGGACAAAAGGAAGGCTGACTTCATCACGCTACTCAAGGTATGCTGTATAGGAGACTGACTGACTGACATAGTGACTGACTGACTGACAAGGTATTTATCAACGCACAGCCCAAACCACTGGACGATTCGGGCTGTAATTTGGCATGCAGGTAGATGTTATGACGTAGGCATCCGCTAAGAAAGGATTTTACGATACTCCACCCCTAAGGGGGTAAAACGGGGTCCACGCGTACGAAATCGCGGGCGGCCGCTATAGTAATGGACAAAGTTATAGATAGAGATATAGAGAGATACCAACTAATGCCAGAGCATTTCTAATGCGACACTGAGTTTCGAACTCAGAAGTTCGAAATTCACACACACAAAATAATCAAAATATTTTATTTTTTATTTTTCTTTATTAAGGAAACAAACAGCATGAGTTTATACATGTGAACTTAAAAGATAAAAACAGTACAGTAGCCGTAGTCAGTTTCCACAGATAAACTTTACAAGTTAATCGAAAGTTATGCAGAGTGCGAGCAATTTATGTTTACAACGTTCGAATAATCTTTAGTACCTACTACGCAAGCAATGTAAGCTGTTTACATTATGACGTCGCTGCTGTCATCATTGCTGTCACCACCACTTCATTTTGGTGGAATTCGAATCGTCAAAACACTGTTATCCTTATTATTGCAAAATTCTCAAAATTTGCCTTGTCCCCAGATTTGTCTATGGGCGAACAAGTGCGACCTCTCGTTGTCTATGGGCGAGCAAGTCAACCTGAAAGGCGAGGCCAAGACCGAAGCCGGTAGCCCCGACAAGTCTAAAACGTCTGTGGTCGATACCGCTGTGATGGACCCGTTCCAGATGATCATAGACTATAAGGATAAGGTGAGAGAAGGTTTTTACAAGTCCTGCTGGTAAATTATGCAAACGCTATTTATAAGGAAACTCAAAATAAAGCCAAAAACGGAGTATATGGCACAACTACTTCAAAAGTATTATTACTTTTTATGTAATGTGGTTGGTATACCTCAATAAATAAAATAAAATAAAGAAGTAAAAAAAAATCAATAAAAAAAGTAAAAAAAAAGATATCAAAAAGGATTGCTAGCAAAACTGCCAGCAACACCATGATTTATTTATTTTTTGTCTTCTATCGATTGACAGTTTTTATTAAACATGCGAAACTGTATCTTACTCATGTGATAACAAGGTTTTATTCCGTTAAAATATTCTCTGGTGCCAATCTTACTTGTACAGTCAGCGTCAGATTGATAGCGAAAATTATCTGATATTCAATATTTCATATAAATGTAACCAGTCAAAGCAGGCCTGTTCATCTCCGCGAGTTTACATCGAAAACAAAACACGCACGATTGCCCCCTACAGGAGTACTATTCGACAAGGCCTCACATACGAGCGAACATTGACTCACGCACGCGTATTCTTGTGTATGATGGAAAAAAAAAGAGAAAATGGTGTACTAAATACTGTGCAGTATTTAACTGCCTAAATAATAATAAAAACACAGAATGTACTTTTTTAAGTTGCCTGAAGACACTGAGAGGTAAATAAGTAGTTAATATTATTCATGATAATTCATGCTAAATCATGTATTTCCTCCGCCATTTTCTGCAGTTTGGCACCTCACGTCACATCATTTTACCGAAGTCAGCCCTATAGCTTCGGCGCAGTGCCGATCACTGACGTTTGTCAACAAAACTTTTGACAAACTTGCCTGACTCTTGAGACAAGCTAAATTACACCATATAGTTAATGACATTGAGCATACATTTTTTTAAATACCTTCGCGAAGTAAAACTTCTGTACGTAGTACTTATTATTATTCTGTGGTCAAAGTAAGCATATTGTTTGGGGCACCAAAAGTAGTCAATGTTATGTTAGCAACACTGTTTTCAATTTTATATGAGCTGTATGCAATACTGGCTTGCTGACTGTACTTACTTATTTTTTGGATAATGTGTTATTAATGAAACAGACATTCTGTTTACTTCGTCGAACAGAAGGGCTAAAGTGCTACGCTACAACGCCATCTTTTGAGAATCTTCATAACTAAATTACAAACGTATGTATTGTGTCCTTGTAAACTCATAAAATACTTCACTATCGCGATGTTAAGTAATACAGCGCCATCTAGTGACGTTTCTTAGAACTAATTAATACAGATGTGTTGAAAATAAATATTAGACACGTATGTTTTCTTTTTTTTAGTATGTAAGCGTCATTCTATACTTATTTCAGATATTGGTGGATGATTCTGGCAAAGCAGTCGACCAAGTGATAGCAAAGGCAGAGGCTATCGCAAAAGCAATTGAAGGGGTAAGAATATAATTACTTTATTTTAAAATAATATTAATATTAGATGATTCTTCTCAGCACCAGCCCGTATGTTGTCCCGAAGTGGTGGTAGGACAAGCTATAGGACGTGTATAAGTGCCTTTTTTTGGGGAAAAATGCATGTAATAGGCTAGATGACAAAATTTCAATTATTTGTCCGTCAGACAGATAGTTAGAAAACATTAGACTCATTTTTTTTTCTTTCATAATAAATAATGACAGTGCTACATCGAGTTGAAATGGCGCGTTACGTCACGCTTCAGTAGATTTTTTACTCAAAAGTGACGTCACGCGACATTTCAACTCAATTTAATACTGTAATTATTCGATTATGAAAAAAATTTAATTTATTTAATTATTTAATTTGTGTTCAAATTGTTTTATTACCTGTCTGACGGACTAAATAGAATTTCGATTTCATTACCCAGTCATCATCCCTATTGCATACCTACCCTGTGGGCAAATGGTAGGTTATGTAAGGCTCCCTTCATCAGAAGGATTGGTGACTAAAATAACCCCGTTGCTCCGTCGATCGCCTTAGTGGGGAGAACTATGGGAATTTTCATCTAAGGCATATTTTATTCAATTGAAAAATAATTTATTTTGCAATTTAATTATTGCAGAACACAACATTCAAATTCCAATGCAGTTGTCACAGGCTGGCCACTTTGTATGGCATGCCGCTGTGCAAAGAAGAGGTTAATGTTTTTTTTGCAATAAAGTAGAATTATTTGGCCAAAAGAAGTAGACATTTTGACAGTATTGATAAATGCAGTATACAAGTTTTCATACCAAGTAGTATAGTCATAGACAAGTATAGTGATTAGTGAATAGTATTGTTAAAAAAAAATAGTATAAAAGAAGTAGCTAGCGAAAAGTTAGAGTTCATAATTCAAATACTAAAAATATTTTGGAGTGTTGAAATAAATTGATAAATATAACTGTATTTCTTTGTTCGTTTCCAAGTAGTCTCGGGATTCGAACTACCGACCAATAAATTAGCATTTCGACACCGAAAAATAGCATCGATTAAATAGAAACACGATATTTTTCAAAATGTATAAACTTTACAGTACTTACAGACAATTAAAGTTTGTTTTTGTCGGTAAATCCTAAAGTGACACATGCGATATCTAGTGTGTTTTATGTGAATTTTGAATACTGTCTTTTATCCATTTAAAAATTTATAAAATAGACCTAGTTTACTTAAAAATCGACTTTTGTCAACGTGACTGCTGTGTGTCAAAGAGACAGATATAGTTCCAAAATACTGAACTGTCCTATGCATGACATTGACAGTGGGGCGCCACCGTCAATACCGGATCGCTGGTTCCGATTTTTGTCATGTTGGAAACCATATAGTTGAACGATGGTAGCGCCCCCCTGTCATTGAGTTTGGTGGGACAGTTCAGCGTGGGTCATCTATAATGTACTGTCGCGGTGACGAAAAGTCAGCCGGGCATGCCTTGCCTGAGTATAATACAATACAGGGTGGAATTTTGTAATGCCACCTGGAGGGAAAGTACTCTTAATATTGTAGATAGAAAAAAAATCTCAAAGAAAACATTCCTTTATTTTTGAAAAGAAACATTCAAAGATTTGCAAAAATTTGCTTGCCACACCCGGGAATCGAACCAACTAAAATCTGTTAAAAATTACACCCTGTATTTTATTGCATCGATCGTTAGGGTCAAGCATAAGGATGAAATCTCTCTAACAAACTTGATAAATCAAATGAAAGGAAATCCATAAAATCTTAAATTATTTTAATTATGTATAGAAAATTATATGGTATGGTAGAGAATTTTCTAAAAATTTCCGAAAATCTATGAAAGCAGTTCTCTTTCTTTTAAAAAATAAAATAATGTTTTCTTTCAGTGAATTTTTCTATCTGCAGTATTAAGAGTACTTTCCCTCCAGGTGGCATTACAAAATTCCACCCTGTATACTTACTTATAATTTCCTATCCATTCTTCAGCCCAAGCCAGCTGAAGCGTCCCCGTCCAAAGCGGCCGTGGCGGAGCCCGAGGGCGAAGACGAAGCGCCGAAGATACCCTGCCCCGCCAAGATGGTCATACCGCAGTCGGTTATGTTCGGTGAGCTTGACTGGCAACACTGTGACGTCATTTCAGCCTAATCGCCACCTGCACTAAATAAGTCAGTCCACCGAGTTGGGAGTTCGTGTCGGTTACTTTGGTTTTCCTTGGAAGCCTCGAAGGTGCCTTTTGTCTTGCCAAGATGGTCATACCGCAGTCGGTTATGTTCGGTGAGCTTGACTGACACACAACACTATATGACGTCTACTGCTGGAAAAGGTTTCCCCCAAGGATATTTCTACTACCAGTTCTGCGCTGGTAAAGTCCGGTCGCCGAGCAGATAGAATTTCGTCCAATGACCCCAAGCTACCCGTCCTTATCGCTCGCGCGTAATTATATTGCTGTCGCGACTGTGCGACGGGCGCCCGCAGTGAGTGTGCGAGCGCGACAGCAACATAATAACGCGCGAGTGATAAGGATGGGTAGCTTGGGGTCATTGGACAAAATTCTACGTGCTCACGGACCAGGCTTTACCAGTACTGCGCTGCTAAAGTCCGGTCGCCGAGCAGAGAGAATTTCGTCCAATGACCCCAGGCTACCCATCCTTATCGCTCGCACACTCACTGCGGCCGCCCGTCGCACAGTCGCGACAGCAATTACGCGCGAGTGATAAGGATGGGTAGCTTGGGGTCATTGGACAAAATTCTACGTGCTCACGGACCAGACTATACCTGTCTAGTTCTAGTCCTGCGCTGCTAAAGTCCGGTCGCCGAGCAGATAGAATTTCGTCCAATGACCCCAAGCTACCCATCCTTATCGCTCGCGCGTGATTATGTTGCTGTCACGCTCGCACACTCACTGCGGGCGCCCGTCGCACAGTCGCGATCTGTGGATCACAGAAACTAAATGGAGATATGACAAGGGGGCGGGGCCGGTGTTGTAGCAATATGCCCAAAAACAGAACACATTGCTCGTGACAGCAATGCTAATGGGACGTTAATTCTCCTATGGGTCTCCTCATTTCACTCACGTCCACTGATGGACAAAGGCTCAAAGATTTCCATAATGCCCAGTCCTGCACTGACTTTCAGTAGATCATCGGTCCACGTAGTCCACACTACGTCTTCCGGCCCATGGTCGCCATTCGAAAACTAGAACAGTTCTCGAATGGCGACCATGCATGCCCATTTAATAGCCCATAATCATAGGCATGCGAAAATATGCCTTACCCTTTACAACGTAAAGTATAGGCACCCTTACACTACTTTTTAGAGTAATCTAGCTGACCCGGCGAACTTTGTTCCGCCTTAATGTCAATAAATAAGCAGACTTTTTTTTTCGAACGGGATAAAAAGTATCCTATGTCCTTCTCCTGGCTCTAAACTACCTCCCTGACAATTTTCAGCTAAATCGGTTCAGCCGTTCTTGAGTTATAAGTGGTGTAACTAACACGACTTTCTTTTATATATACAGGGTAACTGGAACTGAACCCGCCATAGCTAATACGCGTATAGAGGAGGTCATTTGCTAATTATTGAACCTTACTTTTTATAGTTTAGGAAATATGTCAATTTTTAAACTTTTTTCAGATTTTTCCGAAATTTTACCTAAAAACTGCTTAAAATTTTTTCTCGCATGATTTTAACCGATTTTTTTATTTGATACTAATATCGAATAAACTTTTAGTTAAATAAAATAAATTTCAGATCCAGATAATGATTGAATAACTAGCCACGAGCCGCCAAAGTTCAACAAAAGTACAAACCACGATAAAAAATTAAAGTTCGAATTCGATTTAAAAAAAAGCTAATGGTGATAATGGATTGCCAATGATCTTCGGAAAAATCTAAAAAAAGTATAAAAATTGACATATCTCCTAAACTATAAAACTTTAGTCATAGAAAGTAGGGTTCAATAATTAGCAAATGACCTCCTCTATACGCGTATTAACTATGGCGGGTTCAGTTCCAGTCACCCTGTATAGATAACTAGATTTCCGCCCGCGGCTTCGCCCGCGTGGAATTTTGTCTGTCACAGAAAAACTTTATCGCGCGCGTCCCTGTTTCAAAAACCGGGATAAAAACTATCCTATGTTCTTTCCCGGGACTCAAACTATCTCTATGCCAAATTTCATCAAAATCGGTTGCGAGGTTTAAGCGGGAAAGCGTAACAGACAGACAGACAGACAGAGTTACTTTCGCATTTATAATATTAGTTGGGATTAATAAAGACTTATTGTTACATTTTTCTTATATGGCAACACCTTGCAATATCAACCGTTATTTTTCTTTCAGATATCGTCTGTGACAACGCTGGGTACGAGTTATTTGCAGACCTATGCCTGGCGCACTTTTTGGTGTCGCAGAAAATAGTTCAGAAGGTAATGTCCTTTACATTTTTTTTTTCAAGTTCCTGAAAGTCGTATGATTTTTTTTTACCATACAATATTAAATCTTCTATACAGTGTGAGTCACATTAAAGTGTACATATGAAAATAGATGAAACTAGACCTATTTTTATCGACAAAAAAGAGGTCAAAAAATTTTTGAGATTTTTTTAATTTTTTATAGATTTTTTTTTCTTCCAATTACTTATTGTAAAGAAAATGTAATAACTTCTAAACTAAGCGGTATATCCTGATAAAATAAAAACAGTAATAATGCAAAATAATAGGCGATACTAAAAAAATACATAAAATACACAAAAAATGCCAACAAATAATAAAAAATGATACTTTTTGAAAAAAATCTGCTTTTAAATTCGTGTTTTTTTGGTTATTTGATAAATTTTTCCAAAAAATGTCCCTATAACAGGTGGTTTTTATTGCTTTGTATTATTCTCTATCGTATTATCTTTGTAAAACCAAAAATTGTATGTCTCTATCCCTATCACAACATTTGCTATGATCGTTTGAACAAAGGCCTGCCACAACATTATTCTCCGGTACAGGTAGAGACAATTTTAATTTTTAACTAAAATGCTTATTTTTCTTCGAAATCTTTTGTTTTTATTTGAAATCTAACTTGTCTTTATCAAAATTACAAATCTAGAGCCATTTTCAGTTTCGTTGTTAACGAAGCGTTGAATGACGCGCCCGGAGAGGTTTAGTTCAAACGATCATTTCAAACGTTGTGATAGGGATAGAGACATGCGATTTTTGGTTTTACGAAGGTAATACGATAGAGAATAATACAAAGTGATAAAGACCACCGGTTATAGGAGCATTTTTTGGAGAAATTTATCAAATAACCAAAAAACCACGAATTTAAAAGCAATTTTTTTTTCAAAAAGTATCATTTTTTATTATTTGTTGGCCTTTTTTGTGTATTTTATGTATTTTTTTAGTATTGCCTGTTATTTAGCATTATTACTGTTTTTATTTTATCAGGATATACCGCTTAGTTTAAAAGTTATTACGTTTTCTTTACAATAAGTAATTCGAAGAAAAAAAATTCTATAAAAAATTAAAAAAAAGTCTCAAAAAATTTTTGACCTCTTTTTTGTCGATAAAAATAGGTCCAGTTTCATCTATTTTCATATGTACACTTTAACGTGACTCACACTGTTATAAAAGAAAGTCGTGTTAGTTACACCACTTATAACTCAAGAACGGCTGAACCGATTTAGCTGAAAATTGTCAGGGAGGTAGTTTAGAGCCAGGAGAAGGACATAGGATACTTTTTATCCCGTTCGAAATTAAAAAAAAAGTCTGCTTATTTATTGCCATTAAGGCGGAACAAAGTTCGCCGGGTCAGCTAGTTGTTTATAAAGATTACATACAAATAGAAGTAGAAAACTACTGGTAAGGTTTAGTAAAACTGATAATTTTCATATATTTTTGATATTTCTTTTTTCAGGTCCGATTCCACGTCAAAAAAATACCTTGGTTCGTCTCTGACGTCACTCCAAGAGATTTCAAGTAAGTGTTTGTATTTGTTATGGTTTTAACATCATTCATGATAAAAGTTTCTGTTCCCGATATTCAAATGTTTTTTTATTACAGGAACACCATAGAGAAATGTAGATCGGCTAGTTATAAAAGAGAAGTGCAACAGGAAACAAAAGCAGGTTAGTTTATTGATATATTAACTTTAACAAACGTCAGAAATCTGTCAAATTCCATACAAAAAACACCGCGTGATCGATAAGTTACGGTTAAAGTTAGGTGGTGCAACTCAGCCTAAGAAAGTTTTTGGGGAGAGTAAATTTCATTTATTTTAATCAATTTCCTTCTTCAAAGTGACGTTTTAAATAGATGACATTTTTAGCACAAATTTTATGACAGTGATAATCGAATCGAAATCGAATTATATGCCTACTTACTACCTGGTTGGTAGTAAGTACTTCACTTACTACCTACCATAAGCGAAGGAAACCTGTTTAAAAAAATACTGGCTTCCCTGACCCAAAACCTGACTCAAAACTTACACGTTACTCGAACCGTACAATTTTGCCAAAAAGTTTCTTCAAAACATGCTCTTACGGTGTCCCTTACTAATGATGGCTATCGTTTTTATACTTAACAGTTGGCACCCCTGGCGATTGACAGGACCTTACTCTACAGTGGCGCCATCTTGATGAGTGCAAATGCGATAGTCCTCCTACCACTTTAGCGCTCACCAGTTGATGCCACTGTCTTCGCTACTAGCAAGTGACAGGACCTTACTCTACAGTGGCGCTAACTGGTGAGCGCTAAAACGATAGCCCTCATTGTACCTATTTGTCTACAGAGCCTACCGCGGAGGGCGAAGCCCCGCCACCGGAGCCTCCGCGGGTCATAGCGGCCGACAGCCTCCATACCATAGCCGACCAGTGGGCGGCTTACGTCGACGACGGGACTTTTGTGGTCTTGGTGAGTACGAGACTATTCCCACCTCTCGTTCCCACCGCTGCAACTCCTGTGCAGCCAGGATCTACAGCTTGACCGCCAATAACCCAACCAGTGAAGTTTGTCCCGGGGGAAAGTTAAACTGTTATAGGACCCGCAACGAACTTTATCAGAAGAACAAAGGAGTCTTGGTAAGTAATAGTTACTGCTACAGCATGTAGCCTAGCCTTACTAAACAGAGAAGCACATTATTGGCAGATGAATTAATAAAAAAAACATATTATTGCCTTTGCTTCTTCCTACAAAAGGAAAAAACTAACAAAAAAATGATACAATGTTGCTACATACAATACCGTTAATCGTTATTTTTTAATGAAACTTTTATTATCTGTGCCCGCGTCTTCATTTAAATGTCAGTTGGTGGTGCCACTAAAGATAGAGTAACTTGTTAGTGGCCAAGACAGTATCGCCAACTGGTGAGCTCTGAAGCGGTAGGAAGACTATTGCATTTGGACTCACCAAGATGGCGCCACTGTAGAGTAACGTCTTGGCAACCAGTGCTGACGGCAGAGTAGAATACATTTGTCACCAAGCCCCATTTTTCTCGCGGGTGTCGTAAGAGGTGACTTAGGGACTACACATCAAACAGAGAACGGGCAGCGCTCTCTGAAAAACATCAAACTTTTATACTGCGATCTCCAACCCGCCTGCCAAGCGTGGGGATTATGGCAAAACCCTCCACTATAGTAGAGGAGGCTCATAGTCCAACTGTGGACTGTAAAGCGCTGTTGATGATGATGATGATGAACCAGTGGCGCCAACCGTTATGTATAAAAACGATAGCCCTCATTAAATAGGAATATACTATCTTCATCCATTAAAATACTAAACTATTTCTCTCCAGAGTGACGACTTCTGGACATCCCCTCACACGTACAAAGACATGAAAAAGTACGACTACAACTTGTACCGGAAGCTGCAGTACGCGGCGGCCATTTTGTTCAAAGGCGACCTCAACTACCGGAAGTTGCTGGGCGAGAGGAACTGCAACCCAGTGCTGGGATTCGAACCTTCGTTGCAAGGTAATTTTCTTATTAATTTTTGATCGTATACTCTATTGAATGAAGTTCAAAATCCATTGGAAAAGTTTTACATTTAGCTGTGCAACACTTCAGTGTCCCAGATATGACATTGACAGGATGGCTCTACTATCGTACTGGGTTTCAATTCTGATTTTTGCCACGTTGGACAACACTGAAGTGTCCCGTATACAGGAGGGCGCTACTATCAATATTAGTTCCGATTTTTGCCTCTTGACGTTTCAATATCTTTGGATTTTATGATGTTTTTTTTTTTTAATTTTTGATCTAATCTGATAAATAAAATAATAATAATAATAATAAATACTCTTTATTGCACACCACATTGTAAAAAGAAACAGAAAGAAAAGGAACACATAAGGTACAATTAGGCGGTCTTATCGCTATGAAGCGATCTCTTCCAGACAACCTATAGAGAGGACAGTTACTTAAAACAGATGAAGGGGAAGGCGGTGTCGACACTAATGAAATAAATAATAATAAACAAAAGTGTAAAATTTAACCCAAAATAATACATACAAATAACATAAAAGTTTATTTTATGTTATGTTATAATAAGCTGTATGTATTTTTTAATAAAAAAATTAAATTATTTTTTTAAAACGTTATAACCTAAATGAATACAACAAATATTTCTTGCAGGCTTCATCCCAGCGCCAATCATAGCAGTGCGCACAGTGAAAGCGGACCTCATCTGTGGCCTGCCCAAAGGCAGGTGGGAGCAACTCAACAAGATCGACGAGCAATGGATGCAGAAAGGCGATTACGGGTCAGTGTTGCTAGAAACAATAATTAACTTGAAAATTATAAATAACTTGAAAAAAAGGGTAGGTATACTCAACATTGATGAAACAAACGCTGGCCATAACAGCGTATTACACTTGAAAATTTCGACGGGTTCATCCAGTGTCTAAGTAGCTCAGTTGGAAGAGCAGTCGCCCGGCAAGCGGAAGGTCGTGGGTTCAATTCCCGCCTTAGGCAGTTCGATTTTTTCAAGTTATTTATAATTTTCAAATTAGTTTGAGATGCGACTCTTAACGCTAAAAATTAAATAACAACAATAATTAACGGTTCAGTGTTGCTAGATCACTGACCTCTAATAAACACTGGACAGGCTGTCTCATACAAATTATACCTAATTTTGTGTGCCAATTTGAAGCGCCACTACGATTGTCCCGAGTACTAATTATGACGTACATTGTATGGAGTAACCATAGGAGTAAGCGAGAAAGAACATTACTAATTAATTTTATTTCCATTGTCAATCGTATCTGCCTACATTATGGCTTACAGCGCCAAAATGTCGAAACTCAAATAGGCACAAAAATATTATAACAGCACCCAGTCCAGTGTAAATACTACAGGTCAGTGTGCTAGATGTAAAAACATTTTTACGGTTCAGTGTTGCTAGATATAAAACTTTTATGGTTCAGTGCTGCTAGATGTAAAAACTAATGATTATGACGTGTAGGTAGAAAGAAAATCTATTATGATTTATGTTATACAAACGACAGCACATAAAGTTACCTATTCGCTGGGTGCGAAGTACTAGGTGGGGGGGGACATAATCTATCGCAGCGCTCATGGTGGTCAAAAGTAGAAATAATGTAAGCTCTGTCATCAGATGTATCTGTCAATGGCAAAGCGATTCTACATAATACATTTTAATATCATTAATTAATCGCATGAAAAGGGTCCTACTGGGAACTTAAATAAAAGAGTGGACTGTATTTCGATAGGGCTGTTTTAATAGCCGTTTACAATTTGGAAATAACTAAACTATACAACGTGGTAGTACAAAAATGAGTCACAGTAGTTGTTGTGCACAGATGTTTGCCTTATGATGAGAGCGTGAATTATTGAACTCTGCCCTTGTTTTGTTCTTAATTCTTCTACATCTCGGACTTGTCCAGCCAATACCAACAACTTTCCTTTAAATACGGTTTGTGGTTGGAATTTGATATTGTAACTCTCACAAACCCGGTCTTCAAAACGATACTCATTTCGATCTGAAAACGATATTTAATTTATTACTAGCGATACAGAAACATTTAAATATATTTACTGTTATATAATGAAACCGTTAAAGTAGCTTTTTCTTTTTGTTTTACTGTAAAACTACAACTATAAATGAAGTAAACAAACCCTGACACAATCAAAATTAAACACACTTTTTGGACTTACCTCATTTGATTTGAATGACCAAAATGATTTCAAAACCTTTTTTCCACCCAAATCGTGGTATAACAACAATTTATTAGTTGAAAATATTTGTTATTTTTTCATTTCGATATTTTTTCACAAATATACGACCTAAATGTCAATGTGACAGAGCCCACAAAGTTGTGGACGCTAGTTGGCGCTGTAATCGTGCACGGAGCCAATACACTGTGAGATCTTACATAGGTGTTTCGTAATTGTTATAAGAGCGATTTTGCAATAAAAAAATCATTTCTTATTTTATATCCCCCTGCTTTTTTCTTTCAGTGTGATCCAATTCTGCGCGAAGGCTGAACCTCTAAAGGTGGCCGACAGACCGTGTCTCGACTACGGAGAAGTTTGCTTCGGCGCCGGCTGCCCGGTCCATACTGATCTATGATCCTAGACTTACCCAGCCATAGACAACAATTATAAACACGGATTTATAATCATAGACAATGTTACAAGGACTGAAAGCCATAGACTAGATTTATTCATCGCGGACAGCCAAGCCGAAAGTGTTTCGCAACCTGCTATCATAGACAACCAGCTGCCTGCTTCTCATTCATCTATGATTGCCTACTAACAACGTACAAACGACCAAAGAACAATGTAAGTCTTCGTCACCCCCATAACAGCCATAGACTACAGTCATATGCCGTCGGTTGCCCAGACAACGCGGATCTATGATAATAGATAATACAAAACGTTCGTAGAACACTATTCATTATAAGTACGACGCCATTCTTGTCATAGTCAATTTAGATAGAATAATGTTTTTTAAAGATTTCACACTATTGCCTTGTGATTTGAAATTCACATTAAAACTTGCATTTTCTATTTGTAATTTAATATAATAATCTAATATTGGTGTATTCGGCGGTTTTCTTACAATTTAGGGTTTGTGCAATCCTTAAAGGTATTCAACTTTACTTCCCATAGGTCCTAAGTATACCTTTATTCCGTTGATTGAAGTCATAAAGTTGGAAATAAGTTAAATTATTATTACTGAATTTAAACCATAGTTGTGATAAGATATAGTTACCCTAATTACTTACTCATTTTTTGTTATGAATTTTTAAACGAACGTTAACTATTTCTTGATAAAAAATGAAAGCAACTGCGTTTGCACAATCAATCCATAGTTTATACAAATCTAACCCATACCATTTTTTTTACTGTTACGCAATAAAGTTTTCAAAATAAGTCGTCTTTCTCTTTGCCTATTTTCGTTATTATTTGTAAAAAAACAAGTTGACCAAAACTCATGCACTAAAATAAATATTTTTTCTTTCTTTCTTTCAAAGAAAACTGTCTTGAAGCAAATCTCAAACTAAAGTACATAAAAGTACTAAACTAGACTTCCTTGATTCATATTGAGATTTTGGAAACGTCATTATGGTGAGTGGAAATACAATAGGATAGTCTTCCTACCACTTCAGCTGACTTCAGCGCTCACCAGTTAGCGCCACTGTCTTCGCCGCTAGCAAGTAACGTTATTTTTATAGACGAGTATTGCCAGGAACAAAAAAAGACGATAACGTTATTTTTATAATAGTAATCTGTGGAATCATGTGTCACAAATTCACAATGACAGAATTGACATTGACAACCAGAGGTTCGGTATTTTGTTGCTCGTAATTTCCTAACCAAACAATTGGTTTTTCATGTTATTTCATGGACAAATACATATAGTTACACAATGTTTCCCTCCGCCTTGCGATGTGTTTCCACTTTACACAATTTGAGGCGTATCAAATCGTTAATTCCAACAAAAATACGGACTATCCACACAACTGCAGGTTAGAAAAACTTTGCCGATATTTATTTGTGTTTGTACTTCAATTTAAGGCTAATTTAGTATAATTTTAGGCTTACGGCATGGAGAATACGAGTGGCAGGATCCCAAGTCAGAAGATGAGGTGTAAGTTATAATATTAACCTAAAACTTTGATCCAAAAAACTTCGCTACATTTCGTCATACATTTTATTTACAGTGTAAATATTATATACGTGGATAAAGAAGGGAACAAAACTAAAGTAAGAGGCAAAGTTGGAGACAATGTCTTGTATTTGGCTCATAGATATGGAGTTACTATGGAAGGTTAGTATTATGTATTTCTAATTTTGACCTTTACTTTTTAGTTTGTTGTTGTCAATTTAGATGATAAATATGGTTATTTTCTTAATTACAGGAGCATGTGAAGCTTCATTAGCATGTACAACGTGCCATGTATATGTGGATTATAATTATTTTGACAAGTTACCTCCGTCAGAAGAAAAGGAAGACGATTTGTTGGACATGGCACCTTTTTTGAAAGAAAACTCTAGATTAGGTGAGTGAAAAATACACTGAGTGATGTTATTTGATTGAAAAGATGATATAAAATATATGAATGAAGTCAATACTAAAAATCATCCATTTGCGACGACAGTGTGACATCTCCTATATTAATCTAATTGAAGATGTCACACTGTCGTCGCAAATGGACGAAATGTAGTCTATTTATGTTGTTCTAAAATTGGACCACAATTTAAGTCATACCATTTTATAAAACACAAATCAGGAATTTTAACCTAAGGTGATGCAATGCAATTTATATTATCACTAGCTGACCCGGCGAACTTCGTACCGCCTTAGCGTAGAGATTTTCTTAATATTTTTTTCCGTAAGAACCATCCTTGGACTTCCACAAACATTTAAAAAAAAGAATTATCGAAATCGGTTCAGCCGTTCACACGTGATGCCGTGACAACGCGAAACGGGTTTCATTTTTATATATATAGATAACTGAATCAGTTTATTTATGTTGTAAATATTATCAGATAAAAATATGAAACTATTCCAAGATAGTTACATTGTCTTATGCCAGTTGCAAACCAAGATCTAAGCTAAGTTAGTTTAACTTGCATAGCTGATACAGTTTTCCATAGTTGTAGACAGCAAACTATACAATCACCATGGGAAACATCAGCTATATGAGCAAAGCTAAACTAACTTAGCTCAGTTCTTGGTCTGCAACCCACATTAACCCTTAAGGGTTAAGTTATAGTTGTAACGTTTTACTTTCAGGTTGCCAAATAGTGCTAACCAAAGAACTCGAAGGGATGGAGCTAAGACTACCCAAGGCTACTAGGAATTTCTATGTTGACGGACACACACCTACACCACATTAATAGTGTTAAGAGTTAATTAGATAACAGGAGGTAGCGATTTCTCACTTCGTTGTAACTTCAAGCAAAAATATATAGCCTGACCAGGAACATAAAAACCCTGGCATAGAGGCGCGTCAATCGCATTTGATAGTGCAACACTGAGTACAGTCGTACCTGTGTTAAATTAATAGGCTAACTTTATGTATCAGGATTCAGGATTACGGGCTAATTTGATATTTTCATAAATTAACCAAAAAATATTATTATAGGTAACCTGGTTTAAATAAATTAAATGAAACCATCAATCGAGCTAGTAGGATTTATTTTATTATTCATCAATAATCAAATTCAGAACTTGAATATTCAACTGCAATGTTTGGTCATGAACGCTTCAAACTCGGTACTTCTTTCCCAATTCCATAAAATTCAACACTTAGAAAGTGACAGAAAATTTTAAAATAGGTAGTTGAAACAAACCACAGCTAATTTTCATAGTGGACTGTACTATACGATAAACATGACAGTCAATTTGACAACCTTTGTCGGAAACATTATTCAATGAAAATATTGTCCGAACCCTTAGTATTTCTCTTCGACAAATACTTTAACACATTGTGAACCACTTTTCTTTCACGACTATAAAAAGATTTTAGCAATTTAATTCACAAAATCAATTGCGCACATTTAAAATAAAGTTTGTTTACACTTTGACAGCAATAGACTGACATGCAAAGTGACATGTCAATGAAGTTTTCAGTTACTGTTGAAATTAGTACCATTAGTTTTCCGCAACATGGCGAGGGTTTTTATGTTCCTGGTCAGGCTATACTTTGGTATATTGCACTAGATGTGACTTTGTAAATTCTTCATTGAAGCAGCCACCCTAGACACGTTGCACTTTTTGATAGAATCGAAAAGCAGATCTGTCAAAACACCATACAAAGAAAAGCCTTTCGATCATTTTTCGACTGGTTTGCGATTATAATGTGCACTTTATCCAGACCCACAGGTCACTTTGAAGTCTAGCTATCTTATTTTCATCACAAATAAAAAATCTTTTATCCAGTGAATAAGTAAAATAAATTTTATTTTATAAATCTTATCAAAATTTTGAGTAGTGCTTAGATATAAATTATTACTGAAGAGAATATAAATAGATTAAGGTAAATCAAAGAAGTTAAAGCAGTTGTAAATATTGTATATTAATTGATATTGTTAATACAATAGGTGCTGTAGAGTTGTATAGATTGATTACAATAAATGGCAGTTTTTCTGTAAGAAGAAAATAATAATTGTTTTCTTTGATTTTTCTATATTTCATCCGGATTTCTTATAAATGTAGTTTTTATGGTATCCCTAGCATGAGAATCTAAGTGTTTCGTCATTGATTGCTTATAGACAGTCTTATAGGTACATTTATCACAGTATATAAAATTATCCTCCTTATTATGTATTAATTTATGTGTATATAATGCTGACAGAGATGCCGTAGAATATCTGCAGGACTCCTGTTCGCATTTGTACGGTTTATTAGATTTTTCATGAATCCGTTTATGTATTTTGAAGTTGGACGCGTTGTTTGTAGCATAACTACACAATTCACATTTATGCATTTTGATTTCTGAATGATTCTTTTGGTGTTGATTGTAATGAGAAAGTTTATGAGTTTTGTAACCACACATCAAACAAGAGTAGAGCTTGGAACCAACCAATTTGTGTACAATTTTCAAATGCTGCACTAAACTTTCGTTGTCAACAAATACTACTTGACACTTGTGGCAGAATGTATTCTCCTCGATGAGATGATTAGTTTTCATGTGACGTTGTAATTCTTCTAATGATCCGAATGTATTTTGGCAGATGTAACATTTTTGGAATGAGTGATTAGTTTTTGCTATTTTCTCTTTTAATTCTTTACCTTCAATGGGGTGTTTGTTTTGAACATGGTATCTGAGAGTTGTAACAGTCGAATATGAGTGGTTACAGAATTTACACACATATTTCCCTGAACTGTCAATTGATTTGTACCAGTATTCTTTTTCTACCTGAAATAGAATAAGAATACTTTATTCAGCATAGAAAAATAAAATAAAAATACAGTACATATAACATTAAACTACAAGCTATGCTGAAGAGGCGTCCGCTCAGCTATATTCGCGACATAACAAGCGCCATGTCGAGAAGCTGGTTTTCAGCGGGAACCAACACGATGAAGATTGCGGATTGCGCGCCCTCTTGACTGGGACCATATTGAGGCTACCAGTCAAGAAGGCGCGCAACGGGGGGCGTTATGGACGGTGATCACAAAAAAGAGACAGACAACAAAAAACAAAAAAAGAAAACAATATTAACACAAAACTAGACAGAATCAAAAACCAAAAACTAAACTAACTAAAAACTAATGTAACATAAAATGCCCCACCCGAGACACTAACAGGGGGGCGCCACCGTCAATACCGAATCGCATGTTCCGCTATTCGCCACGTTAATAGTTAAAATAGAACAATTAACATTAAATTATATTGATACATCTAAAGTATTATAATTAAATGTCATTTTAATATTTACTAACCACTTTGGTATTATTAGTTCTATCAACACTGGAGCTTATGATATGGAATTCATTTAGTTCAATCTGTAAGTGAATAAGAAAATCTTTTATTAGTCATCATTCAGAATACAAAATGGACTCAAACAAAAATGCATTTTAAGCGAACTTACTAAAGTTCGATTTCCCTGCTTATTAGGAACACTTTCTACATTCTCTGTAATTTCTGCACTCTCATTGTCAACGTTGACTATGTAGTTATCCCCACTGATTGTGATTAAACTTGGTTCTTTACGAGTGACCTGTAAGGAAATATAATTTTAGTTAATTAACATTTAGAACTAGTTTGTTTTGTTTAATCCAGTGACTCCTAACCAGGTGGGTAATCTGGATGTTTATGAGACAGTCATTTTAGTTTCTGTTTAGAAATGTTAGAGAAAATGTATTCAAAAACTAATCTGAAAAATCTCAACTGAGTTCGCAATGTAGTTTGGATGACTCCAGGCGAGTTGGTTTTCGTTATCTGAACTTTTGGAAAGCATTTAGTTTCTTTAAAATAGACTTCTGGATAGTTATTGGGTGTGAAGTAAGAAGTTATTGGAGAATCTAAATCTGTTAAGTAGATGTATCACTTTTGATTTATTTATTTACTAAACAACTCATATAATGTAAACAAACCACTCTTACCTTATTGATTAAAATTTGTGAATTGGCTTCCTGAGATAATGGGTCCTGTTCCTCAATTTCATAGTATTCTATTTTTATTTCTTCTTCCATTCTGTACAAAAACTAATAAAATACATACTCAGTTATTCAGTATTTTGAGATTTTTCTGTTAAATTATTATTTTCCGAAATCCGAAGATCTCAACAAAATTCAATAATATAACACTGACAGTGACAGATTAAAAGGGTAGTTTTTCGTTACGTATTTTTTTCGGTATAATGGTTGATTAATTTTGAAAGAAACAATAACTACATCGATTAACAGTTTTGAATTGATTTCGTAAAAACAACATAGAAAAGCTAACTTAAAATTCTTATGAAATAGAGAATGGTTCTCTATTAGGCAATAAAGCACATTTTATTTGTTCGAACTATGTTCAGTAAAGCTACTAAACAACATTTTTTTTAATAATGGTAACACTTAATAACCGTGCATCATTCGTTCATTCGTTCAGTGCCCAAATCACAATCAATCGGTTTCATCATTCAGTCAGTCTGATCGTGTCCGTTGAGGGAGGTGGTACATCATTTCTGTTCCCCGACAAACGCGTTTCGGAGTGATTTGTGTTTTGTTTTGTGGTGCACCATGGCTTACAACGGTAATAGTGGCAAGAGACTGTGTACAGGGACTGACCTCGACGTAAAACTCGATAGGGTGAGTGTAATAATCCTAAGTGCGGCTGTGTGACATCTACCTATCTAGACTACATGAAAATGGCCGTGTTTTGGACCTTTCCTCGCTCATGTTTTGTGTTATTCGCTGGGAACGGTCATGCTATCAGCCACGTAAAGTGTGCCTGCCCGTAGATTGCTATCTGGCAATCATTGTTGTGATAATCCATTGTTTTGATGAACACGGTAAAGTGTTGATTACGCCAATTTTGAGGTTACTTTTTGTTGACACACAGCCGATAAATATTGCAATTTTTATTGCTAAATTGGTTGTGGTGAGTGTCGTTTGCCGTTGAGTGCGACGGCGAGTGAGTTTTTTTGAGAGAGCTAAAATAGGGGAACGTCCGACTGTCAATTATTCTGATTGACAGCATTCGGTCATTAGGATGGGTCGTCGAGACGGCCCCGGCGGGAAATTATGCCGCTTGGCCACTCGCTCAGTCCTGTTACCTAGTTTTTTACCATGTGTAATATATCGGGCTACCTACAGGGGGTAGGCGATATATTAAGTAATTTTTCAATTAGAGCGTGTAAAACACCTGTATAAACAATGTCCAAAATTCTTTACTATCGTACTTATTCTTATCAGAAAAAGTTGAAATGTTTACATTATTACATTGGCGAAAAGTAAACATTGATTTGCATTATTTTGAGAACTGCATTTTATTAATAATACCTACTAAAGTAATACATTTTCTAATAAAAAACCTTTTTATTTGATTAGCAGATAGAAAAAAAATCAAGAATTCAAATCAAAAGAATAGAAGAGCTAAAACATGCACCTGCAGAGTCCTCCAAAACTAATTCAGAAGCTGCCACGTTCATAACAAGCAAATTACAATAAAACACATTTTTTATTACAAACATCCACCATGCCATCAATTTCTCCAAACATACTTTTACAGTACTGCCCTAAAATACAAATGATCATCTTTAAATTATGTAATTATTCAACATCTGCTGTAATAAATTACATTCATTGCCATTTAAAAAAATGTATTGCAGATTGTTCCCTAAATTATTTTGTGTCATTTCTTTCTTCTTCTTTTATTGTAAACTATTAAAAAGTGTTTTATGACTCATAAAATTTATGTGGTTATATTCCAATGAATATAGAATGAAAAAAATGTTTTATCATATAGGAAAAATGTATAAAATAACAGCTTATTAAATAAACAAAACAATAAAATGTGAACAGTAAGCTCTATGCATTAATTTATTGACTGAATTCTCATTAAAAATATCACATAATAACTAACTTTTTTTAAATTCATAGACAAAGCCAATAGTTTTATTTTTTAATCCTCTAATTCATCATAGACAATGACAATAGCATTGTTAATCCTCTTTGGAGCTGTGACATGATTTATTGAAACATGTGATTGCTCTTTCAGAGTTTATTACAGAGTTTTAATTTGGTTTACGGCTAGCAAGTGTGCGCTTAATGATTTGCTTTAATATTAATGTAACATCAAAGCGCTCAATTATACTTTGAAGATCCGAAATTAGTTTTTGATGTGTTACCGATCAATTAGTAAAATTTGTTGTGCTGAGAAATAGGATATTCTAAGAAATCTAATGTTAACTGCTCAGGAATTTCTGGTTTGATATCAAACCAAAAGATAAAATCAAAAGATTTTCTTGGTAATATACTATTTTGATTTTTGTAACTTAATGCAGTCCTACAGTTAGGCAAAATTGTGTAAAAATGCAGCAATAATTTTTCTAAATAAATTTTTGCTTTAATAGCTTTCAATTTATTTTATTTGCTAATTGAATGCCTGTCACCAGCTGAGATGGGAAATTAACTCATTAATTGTCTATTTTATTCATTTTAAAACATAGATTTTTTATCCTATTTACTTGTTACAATAAAAATAAACCTTAATACATTATTGTCTAAGTCTAATTTCAATTGATTGTCTGCCAATCAAAGTCAAAGAGTAAAAAAAGTGCAGACAGTGCAAAACTTTGAACGAGGTTTTACGTAAGATTTAATGCCTTTCGCCATGGAAGTCGGAATCGGAAGCAAGAAATGCAAGCCGCGTCGGAGGAGTTTGAATCGTATTCATTACGTGTACCATCTGTGCGGCTGTAGGGTTACCATGGGTTTTGAGAGTCTAGGAATTACTTTTAGCCAAAAATAATGTATAATTTAAAATAATTATGATATTAAAAGATTGCACAAACGCCAGAATCTAAAGCTAAACACTAAGAAATCTTACTTTAGTTGTAATAAATGCTGTTTTATGTATTTTGTTGACTGTGCAAATGACAAGCAGTAAGCACAAATAAACTTTTAAAATGCGTTAGAGTCTAGAGACGTATTTTTTTGCAGTTACGATTCTAATTCGCGTAATGACACCAATTGTAATCGAATTGGATAATTCTTTAACTGCTTTCAAAGTTTCACATGTTCGAAAAATGATTTTTTTACTGTAAAACCACACACATCGTTAAACTGACTAGAAAAGTGCGATCCACGAAAAAAATACGCGGGTGAATTTGCTTGGGAGATCTTTAAATAAGATTTTAACTTAATACAAATACACATAAATCTAGAAAACCTACTCTTTGTAATTTCTAATGTGAATTAGGCTCGCTAAAGTTTCGATTAGTTTAGAGTAGTTAAACCTAAATTCAAGGCTGTGAAACTTCAATATTTGGTCCAATTACAGGCGTCAATCGATGCTTAAGTTGAATCTAATTTTGAGCACCATTCGTCAAAGTTA